TCCTAAACTCTATTGGAAATCATTACGTAGAAACAGAATACCACAATGTAAAATGACTTTAAAACGGCATGCACTTAATCAGCTCGAATCAATACAGTCTGACAGTACACAATTGGAATTAAATATATCACAAAGGAATTATGCACTTCTCGACCTTCCAGAGGAGATGAGACTACAATTTATGCAATATGTCGACGAAATCGCAGAATGTAATTCCTCGAAAAAACGAACACAACTGATGAAAGGCTTAGAAAGTCGAACTCCGGGATGTAGATTTCCAGCTAATCCAGAAAGGTACGTCCATAACTTTTCCAGTGTGATTCTTGACAAACTACAACTTGAAGCGTTATCTCTAGGTACTAAATTTTGTGATATCCGTACGGAGATTAGTTAGATTGAGACTGATGTACAATTCGAGAACTTCTATATACAAACAGGGGACTTGGTCGCCTCTTTTGATGAGGACCTAGAAAGATTCAAATCAACCCTGGTAGACCGTTGCTATCAGTATAGACAGAAGGACAAGAATAAGCCTCATAGTATACTTACAAAACAACATCGAGAAGCTATCAAAAGACTAAGACAAAGTGAAAACATAGTTATTACCAGACCGGATAAGGGGCCGGGGATAGTAATTATGGATAAGCAGGACTACATCAATAAGATAAACTCCATACTAGCTGACGGAAGCAAGTTTCAGAAGCCGAAAGCGATGAAAGATCATACGGAGTAAATAGAGAGAGAAATAACAAACTTATTAAAGGATTTGAAGGGTAAAGGCTATTTATCACCAAAAACTTTCGAAAACATAAAACCTACAGGGAGTACTATCTCACGCATGTATGGTTTACCGAAAGTGCATAAATCAGGAGTGCCCCTACGCCCCATACTAGACATGTCCCATTCACCCTATCACGAGACAGCAAAGTGGCTGGTACACCTACTTCAACCCTTGCATGACGAGTTAGTAAAGCACAGCGTCAAGGGTACCATTCAATTTTTGAATTGAATTCTTGATTTTCCCGTCGTGGCCCAAGTGGTCTAGTGGATAACGCTTTGGCGTTTGAAACTATGGGCACTGGGTTCGAGCCTCGGTGGAAACATCATCACTCACTGAGAAATGCAGGTACATCCAGCTGACGAGTCCCAATTAGGACGAAATGCGCATCCTGGATTCCACTGCTAGCCACCATCCACCAATTGTATACCTTTCAATTTGTTGAAAAGATCAAAAACTTGAACACGACTGGCAAATATATGGCATCACTTGATGTTTCATCTCTATTCACGAATGTGCCTCTAGTGGAAACCATCGATTATATCTGTGAACAGATTATAGAAAAGAAATTGTGCACTGATATTCCTGTCAGTAATTTGAAACAGCTACTTGTAAAATGCACAACGAATGTTCAGTTCCTATTTAATAATGAAAGTTATAATTAAAAGATAGAAGGGTGACACCATAAAATTACGGAGAGATGAACCATGAAAGGGTCGATTCACTTTGCTAATTACATAGTAACTTATATGCTTCACGTCTAACAGTGTCTTCATCACATAAAGTACGGGCTAAATAGGGTATTGTATAATTTCTGTACTTAGTGGTGCGAGCATATAACTTCTTATATTGACTTCTCCTCCTACCTGATGAGATACAAGGGGGTAGTTGTGAATAAAGGGAGTGCGGGGAGTTTAACAGTTTGCCCATTTTGTACAGGAATTTACGTAACTCTCGACTATAGTATTGGCGAGCTCACTCAGTGGCAGACCACAAGCCCTACTCACAACATTTAATACTCTTCGTAATATGATATAGTCTTTTGTGAGAAGCCCAGGAAAGATGAATGGAGAGAAATAGAGTACAATAAGTAATATACAGGAGCTTACAAACTGCAAAAGTAAAGGTTGGTTGATACCTGATTGTCCTAAATTTTTAATGTAGAAGGTAAGACGAAACATTTTCTTAGAGATAGATAAGATGTGGGATGACCAAGAAAGGTTAGAGGAAAGAACTACTCCAAGGTATTTAATGCTTGACTTGGTTTCAATTTCAGTGCCATCTATGTACGCTACAGGCATCATGGGAACTAACTAGTTCATGTATGTCACGTCGATGCTTGAAAGTAAAGTTAACTGCCTGACATTTCGATGAATTTAACATAAAACCATTTGACTTAGACCACTTGCTGATGTCCAGTAGAAAGCACATGGTCAGTCGTGAGGCCAATTAAAGAGGACTGAAGAGGACAAGTTGAAATCGATAGGTACTGCTAAAGTTCTGTATTCCAATCGGAAGTCAAAGAAATTATGATAACAATAAAATCGTTGCTAAGAAAATACACAGGAAAATTGGGTTGCGCTTTTGCTATATACTGCAAATAATCGAAAATTATTTTTTTATTTTTTTGTATTTTTGATTGGAGCTTGATTCCACACTGCATTTTTGGTACGAGTATGGAATTTTCAGCATGGATATCGGTAGCCCAAATTTTGCAGGCCGACCATAGATATCAGGTGTTCGTCGGCAGGAGATCAAACCCCGGACCATGTGCATGGTCGTCGAAAGTCCTAACCACTGTGCCACCAACGCACTGAAGACATTCTACAGCTTGATTGTGATAAAATAAATTTATCGATCTGCTTTTTATCCCACAAGAAATCAACCGAACGCAGTAAGAAATTTTCATTCAAAGGAAACCGGAATATCATATTTTTTCTCACTTCTGAGTTCATTCGTCGTATTAAAAAAACACATTTGACGTCAAAGTTTCGAGCCATACATCACAAATTGGCAGAAATCAAAATTCATGGACCACTGGATTGGATGCCAGTGGCTGAATGGTCTACAAGATAGCTTTGTAACCAGTAGGTCCCGGCTTCAAGCCCCAGTAGGCAAAAATGGTTGAAGAGACCGAAACCACAGCGAAACACTTGTCCATCACTGTCCAATACTGGTTTTCAAATCGCTATATAACCGATGTCAGCTTGTGGTCAAACCAACTTTTTTCGAACAAAAAGTAATGAAATATTCTCACCGATGATATCCCTTTTTGTTGAGGACTGAATTATTTATTCGTCAGACTGTGAGTTGAAAAAGAAAAAACTGGAATATACTGGACCGTTAAGAAGACTATGGAAGATCTGGATTTCTCGAACAATTTTTGCCTGGTATCGCACATACTCGAAGACTTACAGGCGAAAACCAAAAAATGCAGGAGAAGCAGTAAAGACATGACAAGTGAATATAGAGAAGAAGGAGGCATTGGGGATACCCACGCACCAACAACAATAACCAGCACCAGTCACTGTCAAGGGAGGAAATTTTATGGTGGTTACTTCCTTCATTTATCTGACACTGCAGTACCATTCCAGCTCAGGGTAGTTGGAATGGTTAGAGACTTCAAAGCCGGAATCGGAAAGGCAAGGGCACATTCAACACTCTGAAATCAGTTTAGAAACTTTTGTACTTAGCACAAAGAAAATATTCGGATTTTCAAAATCACTGGTAAATCAGTTATTTCTTTTATATGGGTCAGAAACTTACGCTGCACGTCACGAAATACATCCTAAACACCCAGCCGCAGACTTTTATCAACACTTGCCTTCGCTCCATATTCAAAATCCAGTGGCCAGAAAGAATTAGCAACAAGAATATCTGGGAACGAACCAACCAAGAAGCCACTACTCCACGAATATGTAGAAGAAAATGGCCCAGACCATCTAACTTCATCTCGTACCAGGCTCTTGAATGGAATTCAAATGGAAACGACGGGTGAAACGTCCAAGGATGACATTAAGGAGATCATACAATGAGGAGGTGGAATATTATGGGCAATTGTGTATCAAGCTAAAGAAGACCCCCAGAAAACAGAATAAAGTGAAGGCTTGCTGCTGAATCCCTCCTATATTCCAATAGGAACCCGTGAGAACAATAGTAATAATAATGCACTATCAACATATTTACTGTCTATTGGGCTGTTCTACTGTCAACGACCGAAGAAGCATATGATTAACCATATATCCCAGTTTATACCAGCATACAGAAGTTTACTAGCTCGTCCGGAGATAAGTACACCGGCCGTACCATGCACCAACTTAAAAATTGTGCTCGTCAACACTGTCCAGACTGTTTAGTAAGAGGAGAACGGAAACGTGTATATAGTTCAGTGACAGAACATCTGGTCAATTCAGGAAATTCAGCGCCATTCGAAAATTCCTTCAAAATAATATACAAGATTCGATCAAAAGTATCAGAGGAGTTAAATCAAGACACCTGGTCATAGCCGAGGCCGTAGCTATGCAAAAGTTCAAACACACGCTATACATCCAAAGGAAATACGTCCTACCATTGTCCCTGCCTTCCATAGACATCATAAACAGGTAACTCTTCTAATAGTGACTATCTCATTGCCTTTCTTATGCAAACTTCCTGTTATTCATGTTATTTTTAAGTTTTTCTTAATCCCTATTTACACTACCGTATTTTCATATCCAAACTTGCTGTCTATTTTGTCTTTGTATTATTTCTACATATTTAATCCCTGACTGCATAAACAGTTATTCGTCACATTAGTTACAATGCCACTAGATTTTTTATCCAACCATCCCGTCTATTTTAGTTATTTCTACATTTCTAACCGCTAATTGCACAATATGTCAATCTTCTCAATAACCATGGTGCTACTTCTCTGAGCTTTATTCGTCCCTCCCCACTGCGTGCTTATCATGGCATTTTAATTCCTTATTGTAACTTTATTAATCTGACCCTTGACCGGAAATTATCCTGGTACTTTTCCACCCATTTAATATGTAAATATAAAGCTATCTAGCTGACGGTGACTTTGTCGAAAAGAAAATTTTCTTCGCTGTGACTGTCTTCTTAATAATCCCTATGATTCAATGTGTATATTCCGTGATTAGCCAATCTCCAAAATATTCAAAATTATTGTGCGAACATTCTTGTAAATGAGTTTTACTACTCAAATCAGAAATACATGTATAAATCAAAATGGTTTATTTGAACAAATTATCCAGGTTAAAAATACCTATTACAAATATAAATAGTTATAAAAATTTGACTAGTGTTCATATCAATCATAATCGAATCAGTAAACAGGTAATTCATTAAACGAATATATTTACCAGTAATAATCTATAAGTTCAAGGTAGGTACGAAGATTCCTATAAGAAGCGCACTTGAGATTGCCATTCTTTCTTTGCTCTATAAACGAAGGAAGATATTTCACAGAGAGGTAACAAAATTTTCTGAACTTCATCACCTTTAATGCATTGGATAACCACTACGATATGGTTTCTTGTTTAATCCCCTTTGAAGTCTTCTTCCATGTCGTCGACCACCACGTCTACGACGTCTATGACGTCGAAATCGGCGACGATGATCTCTATCAAATCCCCGAACTGGTCCTATCACTAGTGTATCTGGTTCATTCATTTTGACACCAACGCTTAGTGTGTCTTTCAGCTCAGCTTCTTTAACTTTTGAGAAAATTCGATCTACTGATGGGTGAATAACGTTTTGACTGTGTGCTTTAGATGCTGCATCTACTGTGAAGAGAGAAAAGACGCCGAACAATAGAATCATTGACAGAAGTAGGATTTTAATGGATGCCATTTTTCTCGGTGTATTTCAATACACAGTTTTAACGTTTAAAAATTATTGACCGTTTCGCGTTTGTTTAAATTGTATTACATATGTTAAGCATCGAATAATAGTTAAAATGGTGAAATTAGAATCGAAGAGCAGAATTTATACTTTTCGAATTACATGTATGCCCGTCTATCATCACTACATACACACACACACACACACACTCCAATTTTGTCAGAAATCAAGACTAATGTAAACAGCGCTGTACCTACATTAATTGTAATCCATAAAATAAGAAATAAGTGTATAGTATGCATAGATTCGTTTTGAACAAATGCATTAACCTCATCATCACATGTTGCATATCATTTTAGGTATAAACATGAGGATACATGCATATATATATATATATATATATATATACGTGTATACAATTCGTTTGTCAATTTTAGATAGGTATATTGTGTTTAGTTTTCAATATATAATGATTACATTAATTGCAAAGTGGTAATGAATATTTTTGAAAATATTAATACTGTTTCTGCCTTAAATGAGATTTAGATTATTGCCAGGTGAATGAATGATGGCTATTGGATGCACATCATGAAGGTGTACTGAAAAGTCCTGACCATTAGAAGTCATCATGTCATTGATGAATTGGACGCATATCAAAGGCACTGGTAAGGAAAGAGCTATGCTCAAGTGACTGAATGGTTGACAAGCTTAGCCAGGTAACGTGAAGTTCCCTAGATTCGATATCTTATGCAGTTGTGCTTTAGCAGTGTTGAAGAGTCCCGAATTAGGACGTGACGACAGTCCAGTGGTAAACGGTCTCTCTAACCGATGTTGTCGAGTGACAAAAAGTAAACAGTTAAATGAGGTTGGATTATTTGTCATTAATCCAGAATTATCAAGTTAGCTTAATACCGATGACAGTTACTAGGGTTATTCTCACGAACTACTGTCTGTATGCGTGTGATTTCACCATGAAACTTACACTTTTTTACTTCAAATAGTGTATAATGTGAATTAGGAATAAAACGAACACCGATCAGTTCATGAAGCCACAGAATCCTTAACATGTGCAATAATGACGGAACACACTAAAAAGGATTCTCAGTGAAAATGGCTACTCCGAACGGTGCTTCATTCAGAAATCCTTGAAGCTCACATCTTTTTCGCCTAAAAGAAGTCTATGTTTGAATCTTTGATTAACTGGAGACTCGTTGGCAGAAACAGTGAGAAGCCGCCTGTCCTGCTCACTGAAGAGACTTTTCTGTATCACTGAACTTCGATTCACTTTCGCTACTAAACCAGTGTATCACAAGAACATGAAGGATAGGCTATTACTGCTGGCTGACCTCATCATGTGTATCTGTGAGTTCATCTAAACATCTGGAGATAGGTATATCAGACTTACTCAGCATGAGCTATTCAAATATATCACCGAACACTTATCTTCATAGCTCTATTCTGGAACACTTGCTAGACTCTGGACACCAAACAAACCACAAACCAATTTCAAAATCATTTACAAAATATGCAGGAATCTCACTATAGGAGTGAGAATTGACCCTTTTCAAACAGAGCATAAACAAAGCCAGTTCACATGTTAAATCTTGAACTATGCTTACATCAGAAGTTTGTTCAGTTAGTAAAACTACAATGAACCCAATGTGTCTTAACACATGAAACGTAATTTGTTTCCGTTTTTTCGATAATATGATTTTTCTCCTACCCTTCCTCTTGTTACATTTTTACTCTCTACTCAATCCCGCCAATTATTTTGTGGTGAGAGCCGGCTGTAAGCCAAAATTTACGTCAGCGACTCTGTGTGCGTTTATCAATTCAACTGCTCGCATGCAGCTATTTATATCGCTCTTTCCAGTCAAGTTTTGTCCGATTGGGTGCAAGAACACTATTCCCGCATGGTTATGAAAAGGTGGCAGTGGAGCTATAAGAAGCGCGATCATCGAACATCTGGTCGACAGTGATCATCCTAACTCTATAGCCTCCGCCTTTAAAGTCATCTACAAGGCAAACAGTGATTTACCCAAATCCCTACGTACCGGACTCATCTGTACTGCTGAAGCTTTGGCTATCGAAACAGAAAAGCCAGATCTCTGTGTACAGAAAAAGTTTGTTCAACCCCTCCAACTTTCATGGTCTTAATCCCTCTATGCTAAAGTATGGTAATCTCTAAGCATATTTTGGCTGTACCAATATTTTCATTTTGTCTATTCAGTTTGTATACTCTTCCTTCATTACGTCAATTGTTACTATTACTATTCTCACTTTGAACTGTCTCCGGTATTATTTACTGGTTCCACTTGTCATTCTAAATCAATTCCTTTTTACAACATTAAATTCTATGTTATCGAATTTCACACAATATTACGCAACCTTCTTATTTCCTTTCTAACACTATGGGATCAAAACATTGTCGACAAGATTCAAACACACCAAACACGCATTTCCAGAAGACAGCTCAAGGTTAAAATCCCCGAGACACACTCTTGAATTCCTTCAAGCTAAATCGCAACCGTAAAATTGTGGTGAAAGCTGTCTGAAACCCGAAATTGTAAACAACAATTGACGTCAATGTTTATGTCTCGAATCGGTGTCATGAGAACAAAGCAATAGCAAAGCTTAATCTTGAGGAACTCATCGATTAATCACAGCAGAGTTAACTTAAATTTCTGAGAAACGGTCACAAGCAGTTCACAATAACCTTCAGCAAGAAAATAACCAATTAGAAGATGTTGTTTTTCCGCTAACAATAACGCTAATGATAATGCACATAAAAATCCTTAAATATCACTTGATTCTCTCAATAAACGATCTGTTTCCTGGTCCTTGTCTTCTGTTGTTACTGCAACACGTCACTAAATTAAGTTATTCAATTTTATTTTACTTTAGAACTAGTTAACGCTTCCCATTTTACTCAGTCGTTATCTACATGTTATACTTCCAACGGCACAGCTTTAAAAATGTTCCTTTTGTTGCCAAGAAAATTTACTCTATGCACTCGAATTAACATCTTGAGAATAATGTCTCTGAAAAGAACAACTTTTTACTGAGCATCTTTTTTGTAACAACATGTAAGTCCAAAATGCACTTCCATTCCATAATAATTTATTAAAACTATAAAGCTATCTATAGAGTTAATATGTATAGTGTTAACAACTAAAGCTGGTCTGAGGTTGTTATTTTTCTTGCGTTCGGACGTTAAAATGCTGGGCTTCAGGATATGAAGTTTCAGTTGCCATGGGTTTGGTTTCCTAGGGTGTGGCAGCTGGTTGCAAGCTCAACTTTCCACCCGTTTTCGGGGCCACTATGGGTTAGTAAAGCAGGAGACGTTAAAGAAGCATAAGTCCCTGGGGAGTGAACCTGGGAGTCATGTTTAGCTAGTGTGCTTCATACACCGACGTATTTTCAGGTAGGAAAGAACTGTAAGATTACTGAATAGTTTGAATGAGACATTTAGAAGACGAATCTCGCTAGATGATATTCAAGGGTGACCAGATTATGCAGCAGACTTCGGTCAGCCATCAAACACACATCCTTCGCTGCACCGCTTTTTCCTACATGTGGAACATTTTCGATCCCTGTACCTCCGATCCAAGGACGAAATTCTATGGTCTATACTTCAAATTGTACCTACGAGTTAACCTGCAGCTGCGGTTACACAAACATATATAAGTAGAACCAACAGAATGTTCCCATGTCGTCGAAAAGAAAATGTTCAAAAATGGTTATTGAAACATATAGAAAATTCCAATGCACTTATTAACCTGAATAGAAATCCATCATCCATTGCATAGTACTTATTCATATCAGGTCACAAAATCAATATTAATGACTGTTTCAAAATTATTTCACCACATAACTCTAATTCGAAGTTGGTTATTAAGGGTGATAGAAGCATTCTGGGGATTAATCATATACAGCCTAAACTGTGTGTACAAAATACAATAGACTTCAATCATCGCCTACCTTAGCGAGTCTACTTGACCTATTTAAATATGATTGGTCATTAGCAGAGTATGTACTTTTGTTTTGTTTTTTTAACTGAGTAATTGTCATGAACTTTATTTTATTACTGTTGACCATCATCTCGCGAAATTTTTTCTTCTAAATGCCTTATTCAAATTTATCAAAGGGACTAGCTGTTTTAATACTGTTTAGGGTTACGCAATTGAGTAAACGCATAAGTTATTAGTGATGTGCTGAATAGTTTTTGTGGGAGGACATCTGATAGCAGACAAAGACACAAGGAACTGGGAGTAGGTGATAAGTAAACTACGTGGAATTGGCATTGTAACAAATCAAGAAATCAAGATGTCAGCTCATGATTAAATCCTCCATGCAATCAAACAAAATCCCTACAAAAACCAATAATTTAAAATTCATCTGATGCTCACTAGTGACTGGCCCTATTCAGGCAGTTAACCTGGGGTTCTAGTGGGAAGCCGTGACCAGTAGGGTACAGCAGGTCGAAGATGAGGCAGTAACTCATCGAAGAAGACATTGCGAAGTGGTCGCGCTATGTCGTGAACTGGCAGAAGTTAGAATTCAAGGACCATTGGATCGGGTCCCAGTGGCTCAGTGGTCTACGAGCTTGCCTTGTAACCAGAAGGTCCTGGGTTCGAATCCCGGTGGGTGCGTTCTGCTGAGGAGTCCCAAACTAGGACGAAACGGCTGTCCAGTACTCCCAGGTTTTCCAGTGGTTCTCTAACTGATGTCAACTCATGATTAAATCCTCCATGCAATCAAACAAAATCCCTACAAAAACCAATACTTGAAAAATCAAGAAAAGTAGAACTGGAATTAACAGCATGGAATTTAAACATACTAGCTTGGGACTCCTCAATATTAGTTATAATGTGGCAAAATAAATAGCATTTATGTGATAAACATGCTCACTGCGAATTCATCTACATAACACTGCGCAATGCGAGACAATGATAATGATGACTCTTAGTCATAACAAATGTATGCGTAATGCTGCTGGAGGAAGGTAGATTGAAAATTCAGTTCAAGGTTGTAAAATTACGTCAGGCGGGTGGTGAGTCGTCAGCACAAAACAGTATACATTGAAGAGAAGATAGTAAGACATTGAAGTAGGTGG